CACAGCACTGCACCGCTTCTCAGTCTCCTCATATTACCCAGGGAATTGGAGGCAAGTTACCCGAATGTCTTGTAATGTCTGCAGTTTTTCCAAAGAACCTTGGAAAATAAGGAATAAAAACACATAAAGAGTTGAGGCTCCCATTAAGTGAGATAGTGTATCTGCAAGCACACAGTCTAAAGCCAATTATTTTCTCTTTGATTTATTCATTTGTTGAAAAAATCTTTGCAATATTTGTATTCAGTTAATTATTTTTTAATAAAGATGTATTGAGCTCCTCCTGTGTTCTAAGAAATATAATGTATTTGCATTTAGGAGAAGGCCAGGCCCCAACACTGGTCTAGAGGAGACAGTGTTAGCCAGATGTTTAGGACAAATGGATTCCGTTCTTGAATTCTTTGTTGCATTTGCTCTGTGATATCTGGTTAGCTACATACCTTTCCAGGCTTCAGTCTAAATTAAGGAGTGCAACGGCAATCTTTAAGTTCTCTTTTGGCGATTAAATTTGGATCTGGGCAACCTAGTTTTAAAGTTAGTTCAAACTATTCAGTTCTAGTATTTCTCCACCTGGACAGGCAGTGGATGGCAAGCCCCATTGCTTTTGCACAGACCAGCTTTCTACCTACTCTTGCTCTGCCTAACCCCCTCAGCTCCATCGTCCTCAGGCCCAGCATCTTACCCAGCAGGATGCCGTCCTGCCTGTACCTCACAAGGCATATCACCTGAGCCTCCGTGGACAAGCACTCTGCAAATCACTGCTAAGCAAGGCCCTTGTGTTCATTCCCTAGGGCTGCCATGATGAAGTACTCCAAGCTCAGTGGCTTATAATCACAGAATTGTGTTTTCCCAAAGTCCTGGAGGCCAGAAGTTCAAAATCAAAGTGTCAGCAAGGTTGGCTCCTTCCGGAGTTTCTGGGGAGAATGTGTTTCATGCCTCTCTCCCGGCTTCTGATGGTTACCAGCAGTGTTTGGCGTGCTGTCACTTGTAGATTCTTCACTGCAGTCATTGGATTTAGGTCCCACTCTCACCCAGTATGACCTTGCTATGGGCTGTATTGTGTCCCCTGCAAACTTATATGTTGAATTTCTAAATAGCAGAAACTCAGAATGTGACTATATTGGGAGATGGGGTGTTTAAAGTAAAATGAGATCAGATGGGTGAGCCCTAATCCAATATGAAAAAAAAAAAATGGGAGGAACAAGAGGACATCCTGTTTCCTCCTTTCTGGAGTGAGAACACTCTGCTAGGGTTACCAGACTGAATACAGGGCATTCAGTTAAATTTTGACTGTAGATCAACCAACAATTTTTAATATAACTATGTTCCAAATATTTTATATTTATAGGAGATATATATCTAGATATAGATTAGATAAATAGATATA